AATATACTATTAGTGATTGATGGAGTGGATCTCCCCTGGGAAGAGAAAGGTTTGAATTAATTCGACTTGAACTTGGTCTTAATTAACATACATGGCTCATGTGTAACATGCATGGCCATGCACGAGCATCATGGCTCACATTTTGCCACCGTTAGAGAAGCTCCACTTCTTCCCCTTCATTTTCTCATGCTTTAATTATTCATTAGTTTCTGTTATTTATTATGTTCATTCAATAGCATTAGTTTAGCTTCTATGGCCTTTCGTTTGGCCTTACGCATGTAACTGCTGTTTTGGAATGTGCGGTATTTATACGCACCATAGCATGAGTAATACTCACGCATCATTCTATCTAATTGTCTTATCAATGCTTAAAACTACTTTTTCCTTTAAATTCTAACCCCTGCTAGATCATTATTTTTTCCTTCTGTATAACTTAAGAAGAAATCTTTTTTCTTGATTTTCATAAGTAGAGGCAAGAACTTTTTTGGAACGTTTTAAACTGCCAATTTTTTTGGGGTAATGCAGCTAAATAATCGGCCACTTCTTTCATCAAGATTGTTGTTTGGAAAGAAATCATTAAGATTTTTTTGGGAAGTGGAAAGGAATCCCAAGTACCAATACGCTGCCCACTTCCAAAAACATATACCTTCCATAAACTCTCCCTCCTTCTCCTTAAACCGCCATGGTCAAATCTATAGGAGGTGCTCCCCCATCCGCACTCCGGCATTCAAACAGAAACCGCAAAACCCAGGCAACCCTTTCTTCCTCACCCGTACACATTAATTTGGAACCCACCTCACCTCCCAATGGAGCAAAGCCCCTCCATTTCAACTACTGTTGGAGCATCACCCCCCCCCCCCCCCCCAATGACTGAGGGAAAATCCTCCTCATCTCAGGGGGAGCGAGCAAAACCACTTCCCCCCTCTAAACCACCAACTCGCGACGGAAAGGTTTTGCCCCAAAAGTACACTCGAAAAAGGGCAATTGCCGAAGGATCATCTCCGAAAAGGGCTCCACCAAGAAATATCCAAGAATGGAGAGGGTAGTCGACGAAGATGTCGCGCGACTCAAGGAGGAGTATCTCTCCCGTGGAATAGTTAAGGTACTTTCCATATCCTCTGGTGATCTTACTCGAAAAACCTCTGATTTTACTGAGCTTATTTCCTTCCAAAAATGGGAAACCTTGTTTGATTCTCAGAATTGTTCCTCTGTGTATCCTGAACTGATCTCAGAATTTCTGGGTAATCTTATTATCAAAGACAGTGTTTTATCTTCCAGGGTACAAGGTACCAAAATTCTGATAAATATCAATGATCTGGGTCAAATTTTAGGTGTTCCATGTACTGGTATATGCCAATATAACAAAACCGAGTGGCCCCTAACTGACACTTCTCAAACAGTTGCACTTGAATATTTTAACCCAACCGTTTCCGAATCCTCTCTCCATGTTGCGAGCCTTGCATCGATTCCTAAACTGTTGTTCTACTTTGTTCATCACAACTTGATTCCTAGGCTAGAAGGTAGATTCACACCCTCCAGAGTTGAACTTGCCTATATGTACCTTTTAGCCAACAAAATTCCTATCAACCTTCCTGGTTTAATGATGGCTCATCTCAGTTCTACCATTAATACCTCATCCCGAAGGATTGGGATTCCATATGCCCCACTGCTTACCAAAATATTCTTATCTAAGGGCATTGCTCTAGATAGGTTCTCCTCTGAAGAAGCTTGCAAGGTCCTGGACAAAAGGTGTCTTAGCAACCTCGGGCTGATTATATCAAACTCTCATCTACTTCCTAAACCGACCGATCCCTCGTCTTCAGAACAAAAACCCAAGCCAAAACCAACCCCGGTTCCTTCCATCGACCCAATGGTGGTTGTACCCCCAATCACTGACCGAATAGATCTTCTGGAACGATATATTCAACACCAATTTGCTTCCCTTTCAGACTCCATCCCTTTAGCTGGGAGGGATTTTTGCTACTTAACATCTTAACACACTAGCCTATTTTGCACTTTTACTCGGCACTGTTTTGGTTATTTTCTGTTTCCTTTTGGTTGATGCCAAAAGGGGGAAATAATCAGGTGCCTCTGCCTCTTTTTGTTGCTACACTCAAACTACTGTTGCTAAGTTTGGCTCAAGTACTAATCTGCAGGGACTATATTGCTATGCTTTGCTAACATGCAGGGACTCTTTTGGCACCTAAGGTTTGTCATCAAAAAAAGGGGGAATTTGTTGAGTATGATTGTTTTGTTGATGTCTAACCATGCAGGTGGAACGGCGAATAGAACCGCTCACAGTTCCTTGCGGAACAAAGGACAAAACTATCCTCCGAAACAAATGGATATTATTAATGTGTTGATTGACTAACCATGCAGGAGGAACTAATGCAGCTCCATTTCTAATTCCGTAATATGATTTGAATTAATATGGATTGCACCTACTTGATTTTCAATTAATATGCTTTCCTTATATGAGTGATTATACTTTGTCAAAAATATGATTTTAAGCAAAAATATCCTTCTTGGCATGATATACGTAATTTGCTTGTATGAGTGCTTATTTGAGTGATTATTCTCTTTCCATACTTGATTAGACATCCACTTATTAGTATAGCTTATTACTTTATGGAAAATATCCTTATTTGATTACATTTGGTGGTTGACCATAGCACTTACGTATTGCATGCTTTGCTAAATATCTCCTTGTCATAAAAGTTATCCTTGATCAACTTAATAAGTGAATAGTTTGAGTATGGATATTTTCTGGTATGGGCCGTCACATGCTTATTATGGTAGGTAAAATATTCCCTTGCTATACGGATTTGAAAAAGTAAAAGTTGTTTGAAATATATTCCATATCTTAATCCGTTGCTTGCTTATATTGAGAATAATATTCCTACCTTTTTGGGAATTGACCGAAGCCTGTCTTATTTGGTAATTAATTGATCACACAAGATTTGGATGAGCTGTTTGTATTTATTCTCTTAGTCCGGGACTGATATGCTACCTTGAATATATGATTAAAATATTTTAATTCGGCTACCTTATATATTGAGCTCGGATATGGGAAATATTATAAAGAAAAAGGAACACAATTCAAAATATTGAGGCAAGTCCCAAGATTAGAAGATCAACTATTCAAGGAATGATGCTTAAACGGTCTGCCCAAGACAGCCTAAATAAACAAAGCAGCCAAAGAGAAATGATGTGTGCTTGACCAAACAATTATAGAGAGAAATACTTATAAGAGAGTATCAATACCAAGGCAACTGGACCTGCTTACAGAGTTCTAGATATAGTTTCTTTTCTCTTACTTGTTTTTTAATTGAAGTTTGAGGAACATCTTAAGTGTAGCTTCCTCTGGTTGGGGTCGTGTGTGTGAGAGCTTTGTTGTAAAGCTGAGAGGCTCTCTACTCGCAAGGTAGAGATGCATAACTCTTCCTAGAGAGGATAGAGTTGGGGTGGCTCAAGGGTAGATTAGGAGAATTTACTTTGTAACCACAAAAGGCTTATTAGTGAAGTTGTTGAAAATTCCTCCGAGAGAGGTCGAGGTTTTTTAATCCCTTTGAGCCAAGGGATTTTTCCTCGTTAAATCCTTGTGCACTTTACTATTTTGCAATTCCCTGGACCCCACACTAGAACTGTGCGAAAATATGCCACGGTTCCACACACACACAATTCACCCCCCCCCCCCCCCCCCCTCTTGTGTTGCTAACCGTTTCATCAAACAACAACAACACAAAACTGAATAAGATAGTTTTAAAAAACATGGCAGTCATAGTTTGGAATTTTCAAACTGTTTTAGTTCTATTTAGGAAACTTTCCCTACTTTTAATCATATATATGTCCAAATTTGATCAGAAAGCATCATCACTAACCACACACAAGCATGAACCACCCCTTCAGTGAGTTCATGGTTTTTCACACCATAACTTTTCATCCCATGATTGTACATTAAGATCCTAATAAGGAAATCGTTTCCAAATCAGTTGCCAGACCAATATCAGACCCTAAGGTTTCATGTTACGTTGAGCATAATCTTATTCCACATTCTTACTTTTGTTATTGTGCTCGCAAATATACTATTAGCGATTGATGGAGTGGATCTCCCCTCATAAGTATTTTGATCTGATCACAAAAACAAAACTACAATTTGTTGTTAATAAAATTCGAGAAGAAGATGAAACAACATCAATAGAATGATAGAAGATAAAATCATAACATTATTATTCAAATATGTAGAAAAATGATTGTTTTGTTGTATATAGATTACGATACTCTACTTATATACATGATTTGAATAAAATGTATTCAATTTATAAGATTATTCAACTAGCGTTGTATATGAATCGATACACAAGTAGTCCAACTTATCGGTTTAAACTGTCATTTAGAATGGGAAAACCCATCCCTCACTTATACCCTTTGACTAAAAGAGTTTATAATGGACACTTCAACGTGTATGTGTTTGTAATGTGAGTTTTTCGAGTGAGAATCATTTAACTAAACTATCAAAGCTTAGATAAATAATCGTGTAAAGCATTACACATAAGACACTACACCATGATTTATACGGAGTATTAGTTTATGAACTCCCTACCCGAGTACCACTACAAGAAATCCTGCGATTTAGTGGCGGAATATCCATCGCCAACTCCGCTACAGAAACTCCTGGTGACGGAAATCACTAACGGATCGTCTGCCAGTAAATTCTCGAAGTAATATTGTTTGGTGGTGGATTTTCAAATTCGTCAGTGATTAGAAGCGGACTTTTGTGGCGGATGATTCCGCCAGCGGTGTTAGTGGTGGAATATTTGTCACTATTGGTCACTGGTAAATAATTTTTATTTACAAAAAAATATTCTTCATTTATGATTTGCTCTCAAATCAATTATTATTTATGTATGACTACCAAAAACTGTTCATATTAATTTATCAAATCAAAGCATGAAAAGATACATTTGAACCATTAGATATAATTAAAATCAAATATTGCCAAAAAATAATACTATGTATATTATAATAGCTTAGAGTTTACATTAGATTCTAGGTCACTACTAAAGCCCCAATGCAACCATGCTAAATCCAAAAAAGCATCCAAGTCGCTATTAGTATCTAGTGTTCAATACTAAATCCAAAAAGCATACATATCACCACATTAATGTGTTTTAAAATGTTTAAGCCATTTCAAAATTAAAGCTATGCATCTAATTGGATAAAGAGTCTCCATGTGATTGTTGAGAGCCTTGAGAGGATAAATCTTGTTGTGGAAAGAAGTTTGGGGCGTCAATTCCATATGACTTGAAGAATGGAAGCCATGTTTCTTCAAAACTCTTAGGTTGTAACTCGGGATTCTTATTTGTCAAACTTTCATCCACAAGAGGCATAACCGGTGGAGCCTCGTGACCATGCGAAGACAACCATTTTCTCATATGCTCATCCGAAGGAACACAAAAATCATGCAAGCATTTTGATGAAGATCCTTTATGATTTGACTCTAGCTAATTGGAGAAGAAACGCTTTGGAATACCTTCCCGTTCCCAAAACTCTTTTCTTGTTGTACTCAACCACATCAAAATACTTGAAATGCAATTCAGAAATTACAGCTTTTGATGTCGTAGAAATTTCATCTTCTTGTGATTGATGTTCACTTCAGTTTCATGGAATGTAGTAGACAGTTTGCTAATAACCTCCTGTGCAAACAAAATGATGCAAATCACTCAAACATTTAAAAAGAGAACATTGCCGGTATTTTTTTTTACAATAACGACACAACTCACAATTGCTCAGAAAATCTTAATAGGACGTGCATATTTTCCTTTTGTACTCCATCCAGAAAGCATGGCATATGCGGGAAAATCACTTATTGCCCATAGCAACATAGCTCGCATATTGAAATTTTCCCTTGAGAATGCATCATACGTTACAACCCCAACCTCCCACAGTTGTTTCAACTCTTCTATCAATGGTTTCAAATACACATTTATCCCCTTTGTTGGATTTCTTGGTCCAGGTACCAATATAGACAAAAATAAAAATTGTTGTTTCATACACATACCAGGTGGACAATTGTATGGTGTCTCTATGATAGGCCAACAAGAGTATTTCTGACCAAATTGTCCAAATGGTTGGGACCCGTCACTGCATAAACCAAGCCTAACATTTCTCGGGTCTTCAGCAAAATCTGGATGGAGATTGTCAAAATGAATCCACGCCTTTGCATCCGACGGATGTTGCATCACTCCTTCTTCTCTATGGTGAACTTTGTGCCACCTCATTTTCTCCGCGGTAGTATCTGATGCATAAAGCCTTTGTAGTCTAGGAGTAAGTGGGAAGTACTCCATTCTTGCAAGTGAAATTAGTTTTTTTGCTTGCTTACTGATCCTGTATCTTGCACCATCGCAAAACTTGCACTCCATTAGCTCACTGTCTCCTTTCCGATATATCACACATCCTTTTAGGCAACAATCAATAGATTGGCTTGTCATTCCCAACAACGATAACTTCCTTTTTATTTTGTTGAAATTCGGTATAGGCCTATTGAGGATTTTAGTTGGGAAAAATCTATTCACAAATTGAGCAATCCTGTCTGTAGAAGCCTCAGATAGATTCATCTCAGTCTTTATGTTCAACATTTCAGTCATTGCGCTCAACTCAGTCATTGGACAACCCTCAAAGCATGGTTGACTCGTCATATCTAGCATTTCATACATCTTCTTTGTTGCTGCACTAGGCTCATCATTCACAAGAAAATCGCCTTGATTTTCTGTTGGGAATTCATTCCTCTCTGCATCCTCAAACATCAATTTGTATGGATCATATTGGACCTCAGATGCATTACAATACGAGGAGTTAGCTTGATCAAAATAAACCAGGCCATTTGAATTGGGTGTCTCTCCATGTGTTGCCCATACATAATAGTCATCGATAAAACCTTTCTCAAATAGGTGTTGCTTAACAATATCCCAAGTCATCCATTTTCTATTTTTACACTTTCTACAGGGACATGCAATGATACCGCTGGAATATAAATTTATTGTTGTCTGAATGAACTCATTGACACCTTCCTTGAAATCACCATTTAGACATCCTCGTCTCTCTAGTCTTTTGTACATCCATGACCTATTATTACTCATACTGAAATCTAAACAAAAAATGACATACATTAATTACATTTTCATTGAATAAACTAAATAAAATAGCAATGTAGATATATTATGAATAAAGTACTTCCAAAATTTCTCTTAAGAAATTAATATGAATTAGAATTTAAGTTACCATGTACATTATAGATTTTATTTTTTATTATATTATCTCCATTTTTTTTATAAATAATACTAACAACATATATCTATTATTGAATTTCATTTAACACATCTAACTTGAACAAGCAATTTCCTATATTCATTTTCTAACAATAATCTTCAATCTTGTAATGAACACAAATATAGTTGAATTTTATTTTTAAAAAGAAAATAAGGAAACCAAACAAACAAGGAGAAAACTTCTCTATTATATAAACATATATGCACATGATAAGTTAATTTATAAATTAAATATAAATACATAACTTTAATTTAATAAAAAGTAAGAATTCTAACCTGAGATTTCGAGTTTGGAGCTGCTGAAGAAAACATGTCGACTTAGATGTGAGGATAAGGATCGTGTGTGGAGTTAGATGGGTTGGTAAGGAGTATTTAAATTTTTGAATTAGGGTCGGATATTAGTGGCGGACAGATTTCCGTCATTGTTCACTGACGGTTATTACGAGTGAAACAATCGCCACTAAATACTGACGGATAAAACGCCACCATTAAATTCCGACACTAAATACCGGTGGACTTATTTTCGCCATAAAAATCCGTCAATAATTATCGAAATTCTTGTAGTTTTTGGAATCTATCAATCATCTAGTCTCTTCAAACCCGAATAAAAGCACCACAATAAATGTGTTGGAAAACACACCCTTTCCAATGAGTAAGAAGTTCTCTCTTTAAACGTATGAGGTGAACTTTCATGTAAGATATAATTTTGTTTTTGTTTTTCAAGTATACTCTTCTTTTACGTCAAAAGTAGTTAGTTTCTTTTTTATTAAAAGTAATTTTCTTTCATAGATATAAAAAATTGTTTTTGGAACTTCGATAAAGATAATGCAAGGACTTCATTTCAGAGGTAGTATTTGATTAAGCAAAACTCGAAGATGATATATAGATGTTTTATGAAATTTTCTATTAATAAGTTTTTAAATGAGGGAGTATTTATTAAGCAAAACTTGAAGATGCAGTATAGATGCTTTATGAAATTTTCTATTACAAGATTTCAAATCCCCTTATTAATTTTAATTACACTCAAATTGAATTCTAGAGTACATCCAAGCATAGCCACTGATGGCCGCAGATAAAGATTAGATAGATAGGTTCTTGTTTTCTCTTGACCACAGAGGTTGTAGAGATAACCCAATGTCGGGAGCTTGTATTGCTTCGTCTTCATCTTGCTGGGGCCTCACTGGAAAGTTCAAGAATCTCACTGTTAATTCCACTCCTTCAAACGCTTCTTTCCCGAGCTTCTCAGCCAACACTTCTCACAACCTCTTCTCAAAAGGTAAACAGCTGTTTGGTTGTCCAAATTGGTCATTCATTTTGTCATCTGAATCCCTACTTTTTCATCTAAAAAACGATTTTCAGGTGCCGTTAAGTTGATGCCCTTGCAAAGACCAATTCGTCGGTCGATTGTGTGCGAAGCTGAGTCGAAGCAGAAGACAGATTCGGCATCTAAAAGGGCGCGGCAAGCTGAGAAAAGGCGCATTTACAACAGAGCGCACAAATCAGAAATCAAAACTCGAATGAAGAAGGTAAAAAAGTTCCCAATTTATACAGTTTTGGCTCCATTCTGACTTGAATTTCAGTTTTTATTCCCGTTTGATACTCTCCTGTCTTCACTTACTTATCTTGATGGATTGCTACAATTGAAACCTACTTCTGTCAAAAATCTTGATGGATTTTTAGTTGTTTATGGGATTTCCATTCTATCAGTGTTTTGTTTAATGTTTTTAAAAACTTACGGAGTATTAATTTCTCTATTTTGTAAACAACTAAATTTAAATTCCTTACCTGTGATATGATTGGATCTTGATGAAAAGAAACTCTCATGCTCAGTTATTTAGTGGACGTGGATTTAAGAAAAAACCCATCAACTATAACCACTAAAGAACCCAACTCAGATGCTCCGTAGTAACTTAGAGGTAAAATACCCTGCGTAATAGCACTGAAAAATCTAGCATCTTACAAGTTTTTCCTTTGTTTTACTATGTTTTAAGTGGTCAGTAAAAACTAAAACATGCAAAGAGACTTTATTTGTTATTTCTGCTTGGAGCAACAGCTACTTTCTGCTTGTGACCTCAATCATTTACCTTTTGCCTAACTTTTTAAGCTGATATCTCATGCCTATAAAGGGTGAGGCTTCAGAATGGAATGGAAACCTACTCTGTCTTTTAACAATGAAAAGTGGATTGGCAAAAGTAGGAAGGTCAATGGATTTCATGAACCTTTATAAGAAGCCCCTTTTGCAGCACTTTTATGGAATGAATAGCTATGCCTAAATGTCTTATATGATGGATAGAGCTGTTAACATTATGTATTATATTGCTTAGTTTGTTGATATAACCGAGTAATTGCATTCATCCATCCTTTTACACAGCCATCAAGTTTTGTGGATGAAGTAGTGAGTTCAAAACTGAATGCAGCTATGTTACTGGAGTTCTAAAACATTTTTCTACTGAAGCTATTATAAATATTTGGAAGACAATCGTTTTTATGGATTAATAATTAGGATATACTTTAAGATAAAGTTGTTCATCTAGGCCAGGTAAATAAAACATATTTGCATTTGAGGGTGTCCTCTAATTAGGAGTATTACAATTTTGGTGCTGTAATATTTTCCTCATGCTGCAGGCTTTCATTATGGGACACTTTAGGATACTTTAAAGCCTTTCATGATGCCACAGCAATATTTGTTGATTATAGGACACTACTGAAAGAAAAGCTATCGCAATGTTTTTATCTTGTTGCCTATCTAGAAATTCAAATAATTATACCAATGAAGAAATGAGGCCTATCTAGAAATTCAATTAATTATACCAATGAAGAAATGAGTAGCAATTAAATATTGACAATTTGGTCTTCAAACACCAAATATTGAAAGTTCGTAACAAAATACTATTCAAATTTAAAACAAGTGAACTATGGTGATGTGACCATTTCATTTTTTTTACTCCAGGGGGTCTGGGGTTGGGGATTGGGGGGTCTGGAGTAATCAGGGCTGAAACTCACTCCATTGAGTTTCAAACCCTTATGTGCCTAGCGGGTTTCGAACTTGAGACCTCCCACTAGGCACGGTAACCTCACAACCAGCTGGGCTGGAATGCTTGGTTGGTGTGATCATTTCATTATATTTTTAAAAGGTCTTAAAAATGCTTTCCTTCTAAAATCCTAATAAAATAGCCATTTCACTTATGTCTCTTATTTGAATGAAGTTTTGTAATGAATTTTGCAATTTTAGGTTGCTATGGGACTAAATTGTCGATTTCTTAAAAGCATTGGCCTACATTGCAAAAGCAATATTTTAGCGGGACTAGGTTTGCCGACCGGCGACTGCTATAGTTTAAGGGCAACATTACATTATTTCTGTACTTTGTGAATTTCTGGTAATTGAATTTAACATGCCAGGTGTTGGAAGCTTTGGATGTACTAAGGAAGAAGGAAGATGCACAGCCAGACGAAGTAGTTAGTGTGGAGAAATTGATTGGAGATGCATATTCTGTAATTGACAAAGCAGTGAAGGTGGGAACCCTCCACAGGAACACAGGTGCAAGGAGGAAGTCTCGGCTTGCAAGGCGAAAGAAAGCCGTTGAGATTCATCATGGTTGGTATGTCCCTGCCATACCAGATTCAGTTGTAGCCTCATGACTGTAGGAAGAAATATACCAGCCTTGTTTTATTTATTCCTTTAACCACCTGAAAATAAACATTGTATTTTTCCATGGAATCTTGTAGTCTATATATCTGCTTTTATTTTGTATCTTTCGTGAATTCCGGGTTGAGTGCAAGATCCACTTGATAAGCGAATGCATACTTCATTGGTGATTCTATCCTTGAACCAAAAGTTGGCTAAACAGTTGCAACCTCAGCGAACTCTGCATTTGGTTATAGGTTGTATGTTTGATCTGTTCCGTGAGGGTCTTTGAACAACTTCATCTGTGAGATTTCATATCCCTAGGAGCCTAGCTCATAGAACAAGAGACAATGAGGCAATCGATCATGCACAATGAAAATAATTTCAGTATTACTTGTAGGAAATTTTACTATTATCATACATTTATTGCCCTTATCAGCTATGTAGCATGGAAACTCTCGGGAAAGAGTACGTTTCCGTTTTGAAAACTCTACGGAAACTCTTTGGAAACTCTCCAAACAAGTCTTTTTTGAGCAAAAGTTGACATTTCTTGTTTCTCGTTTCCTCATGATTTTCGCGCTTCCGTGCAATATAGCTTATTAGTATGTGGAACAGAATGAAAAAACAGGTGGAGAATTTCAACCATTTGTTGCAATTTATTAAGCAAATAGAGTCTATAGCCAAGAAGATGGGCACCTTTGTTGGGAGACTGGTTAACAAAGCAAAAACCAGCTAAGTCTGATTTGAAGAAAGAGGAGGAAAAATGACCAATTGTTATCCTCATCAATTTAAATAATTGATGGTGTGGACTGGGGTACATTAAAAGTCTTTTTGAAGACAGGTGTATTAAAAAGAAAACCTTTGGTCCTTTTTTTAGACATTGGTCAGTTTTGGTTCCATACTTTAAATTTTTAAATAGTTGCTTCCAAGTTCCAAATAGTATTTCGCAAGAATGGTAAAGACTAAAGAATGTGCAACAATCTCAGCAGTAAAGAATGTGACAATATCACTTCAAATGGTGAGGCATTACCTTTCCTAAAAAGAAATTGTAAAGAGGAGTTAGGAATTAGGATCATGTAGCCTTTTGGAGTACTATGTATATTTGTACCAACACTTTTGTATTCTGAAATCTGAATACATATATTTCAGTTCAGTCCCATTTCCATTTTCTGTCTCCTTGTCTACTGAGATAATTGCTCTTTTCCAATTCTTGAGGAAAAAGACAATTTTGGTCGATTATTTAAATTAGTAGACTAAATTGATAAAGTCCAAGTTTCAGGTTGAATTGTTTATACAGATGCATGCCACCTAGGATTTCAAGTGTGCTAGGCCATTAAATGTGAGAAATATAAATATGAAACTAATTTGTTAAATTATATTTTCAAAACTGGAATTTTGAAAAAAAATCAAAACTAGGTGATCAAAATGCTTTTTCCTTGAATGGCAGACCATAGATAATTTCAATTAATTGCGCATCCAGTAATACAAAACCAAAATCAGGCTTAAGGCCCAGGGATGGTTTTGCGATATCAAAATTTTCCGTATACAAAATTTATATACTGTTACTTTACCGTAGTTTCGGTATATCGCATTTCGGTATACCGAAGTTTCGATTCGGTAACGGTATGATATCGGTAAATTACCATGCATGTCTCTCAATACAACAAATTATCATAGACTAACAAAATATACTAAATCGGTGTTACTAGCGACATATTTAATCCATTATTATAATGTTACAAAATACAATTAATAATCTATTGATGTCATATTCAATATTGAACAATAATTATTATTATTATATTTAAGCAGTTCAACATGCCACGTATTAAAAAGTACTCCCTCAGTCCCAAACTGTTAGATACATTTACTATTCATTTGGTCAACATAAATCACTCTTAATCTTCTACTTTATATATCAAAAGTTAATGAAATTTGAATTATTTTTTGTAGGTTTTGTAGCGGTTTTAATGTAGTTTCTGAATATGTAAATTTTATTTTCTAAACCTAATTTGAGTGTTGACAGAGATCAAATAGCTTTATCGTCGGTCAAAAATCGTAAACCGTAATGTGTCTTACAAATTGGGACAGAGAGAGTAACACATTATCCTAAAATTACTTAAACAATATAGATATAATTATATGAATAGTGATCTCAAACAAATATAAATAAAATTATTCAAACAACATGAATATAAAATCATTTATCATTAATATTATATTGTGTATTTAGTCATTTTTATAGTTTTAAAAAAATATTTGAATAAGACTTTCGGACAAAGTTGTGTGACTCGATTCACGGAATCCTTATGTAGATACACTTGTCACATAAATGTATCCTTTTTCACTCGTCAGCTACTCAGTGGCTCTACAGTCATCGTGAAGGTGGACTGGTTTCTGGACATCAGTACATGACTCATTAGTCATTAGGGTTAGTTTGTTTAAATGTTACGTATTAGAAATCTATAAGGTTATAGTGGGTTTGGGAAATTGGGTCTTATTTTTGTATTTTAGTATTTGTAACCAACCTAAGTATTAATTTTGAGTTTCAAAATTTTAATGAACTTTTACAATATTTTAGAATTTAAAGTAATTGTTGGGTATGGAGTCGGTACGGTATAATACCGGTATACCGTGATATTTGAAAACATATATCGTTATCTTACAGAAATAAATCAGTACAGTATGATACCGTACCGCAATTGACGATATACCAATATTACGGTATTTTCCGGTATCTTTCGGTACGATAAATGCGGTGTATCGATTTTTCGATATTTTTACGGCTTTACCCACACTATTAAGGCCTGTGACGGTTGGGCCTTCGCCCGCGTGTTTATTAATAAGCCTAAAATTGAACCCAAGGATAAAATTGGAACTTTGTCGTGCAAAACTAACTTGCAGAGGCAAGGGATCATCCATCCTACCTCCGATTCACGACGTTCCGAGTTCCGACCTTATCCCCAAACCATCTCTGTTCTTTGTCTTGCAAGATTTAACATTTCTCTCAACACACTCTACTAACCCTCCTCTGTTTTGCAGTCTCATACTTCTAATTATCGGTTTTATTTGTAATTTTTTCTCGATTGACATCTAACATTTGTTCTTCCGAGTTTCTTTTCTTTTTGTTTGTTTTGAGAATTAAAGTAAGCGAAGAACAGTCGAATCCTGATGGGAAGTCACAAGTCAAAATCATCCAAAAGGAAAAGCTCTGAGGTTCTTCTCCTCTTTATCTTTATGATATATCCACTCACACTGCAGAATGCTAATCTTGATCGTTTAGAATAGGTTTTGCTATTAGCTATAGTTTTCGAATAAATTTTTATACATTGATAAAACCCTTGATCACCCAAGACACTCAGTGATTGAGGAAATCATTTACAGCCAAATGCATGTCATAAAGCATCCGCTTTTTTGTTTTTGCATCAAATAATTCTCAGGTTTTACTTATAGTGGATCCTTGCGGGTGCTTCTATCTGTTTTCAAATAGAATGAATTTGTATGTGTTGCATTTTTAGATTCTTCGAAGTAAGAAGAGTAGAAAATCAAAGAAGAAACCCTCACGTCGCCACCATTCCATTTCATCCTGCTCAGATGATGATTCTGTAAGTTCGATATCTTCCTACTCTTCCAGTTCAGAAGAGGACTATAGAAGTAGGAAAGGTGGGCGTTCACGCTCACGAGCTGATGTGAAAAGTAAAAAGAAACGGTCTGAGAGGAGGGTATCATCAAAACAAGAGAGCATAGAGGATTCCGCCCCTTTGAAGAAAAAGAAAAGGTCAAAAAGAAAACGTAACTCTGAACATAAGGAGAAGCATCAAAAGAAGAGGAGAGATTCAAGTATCAGTTCTGCTACTAGTGATTCTTTGAGCTGCTCAAGGTGTCAAAGTGAGCACAGTGAAAGTGAGGAGGTTGAGCTTGAAAGCAGGTCTAGGAAAAAGATAAGAGATAAAAGTAATCCAGATAAACATAAAATCAAAGCTAAGGGAAGTAGAACCAAGTCAGCCATTTCTCTTTCAGCTGAGGACCACTCCAACTTCAACAGTGTTTATCAAAAGGGAGAGGAACATGCAAGCTTGAATCATGGTAGGCGCATAAGATCTGTCATTACTGTTGTAGAACACCCACAGCAGGAGGACAATGAAGAGAACAATCTATCTCAAAATAACGAAGCAGAAGATAAGTTAGAATGTCGTTCTGGTATTGTATCTGTTAAGAGCAGCTTGGTAAAGAAGATGATGGTTCAGGAAGATTTTGTCATCAATGATGATGGTTCAAGTGGGAAGAGAGTTTCTAATCTCTATATAAATCAGGATGAAATGAAGAGCCTAGAAGGAGAATCTGAGAAAGCAGGGAGAGTGATTGACAGTGTGGTCTCTGTTAATGCAACTGCTTCGGGAAGTAATGACCTTGAGCTGATTTTGAGGCAGAAGGCCTTGGAGAATCTGAGGAAATTCCGAGGAAAGGTTCAAGCAGAATCACCAGTTACTGGTTGTCAGAAAATAAATCAAATGTCCCTTTCAAAGCCTGAGAAGGTTGGCAATATGTTAGCTGATCAGGAAGGTGCTAAGGATGTAAAAGTAATTTCAGTTGCCGGACAGAACAGCAAGAGTAGATCTAGTAAAGAAATATTGCATCCCAAAGTGGTCGAAAGAGAGAATGTGACAGATGAATATAAGAAACTTGAACCTGAAGTCACTAAACCGAGTCATATCCAAAGGTGTGATGAGTATGCACTGTCTAAGAACATTAGTGACGATCACATTAAAGCATCTGCTTCCCATGATGAATCTAAAACTGATGTACCAGAAATTCACTCAACAATGGAAAGCGCATTTTCCCCTAAAAATCCATCGGATGACAACGACAGTGCAGGTCATACTCTTCCTGAGATGAATAGTGCCACAAGTTCTGCTATGGTTGGACCTACTTGTAGCATTAGAACATTGGAAGAGCATAGTTCTAAGGACCTTGCTGAGGCCAAGGATGGTGGACAGTTTCAGCAAAAGACGATGTCTGTCATGAGGAGTGGTGAAATGGTACAGGTATACAATGTTCTATCTATTTCTGATTCATCGTTTTCAAAGTTTAGGTCATGTTTGGACTCGAATGCTATCTATGTTTGACCTATTTACTAGGTGAAGTACAAGGTGTACATCCCTAAAAGAGCTCCTGCATTGGCCAGGAGGCAACTCAATCGGTGATTCATGGATTTGTGCAACTTAGAAGATGTACTTAATGGATGGGCACCAAATGCTTGCATCGATCAGGGGATTTATGTTTTGTGGGTGCATCCTACTAAATTTAGACTATTTAGGCATTTAAAATCGACATTAATGGGTTCCTTAGAAACTTGCACATTTTGAAGTGCGACTTACGCATATGTTTTACATGTTCTTTTCATTTCTGACCACACTACGAAAATTGGAATCTTCATCTCTCCGATGAGAATTTGCTTTGTTTGCTTATACATTGTAATTTTAAACTCCCAACTCTTTTCTTTGAATCTTTCAATCATTGCTTGTGGAGCTGCTTCATCCGGTGCTGAGGAGCAGACCAGTGCGTGTGTCGATGATGATCTCATATTGAACTTTGCTAATTGGATTGGTGACATTGCAGGAAAAGGACTAGCTAGGTTATACCCACCAATAGATAAGACAAATGAGGGTTACCTCCTTTGGCCAATTAAATGCATCAAATGTGTTCAGATTGAACTCGGGTCAAGTATTCAAATACTTCTTTGTAGTTTGGACGTGTAGGGACATGACTAGGAGATGATCTACGTTAGGGCTATAACAGGCTGAAGTATAGGGCAATTTTTTATTTTTATTTTTCAGTATTATTTTTTCCATTTTCATATTTAGGCCATCCCGGTAATGTTTAAGCCTAATATATTCACTTTCAGCCCGATCAAACACTAATTCCTGCATCCGTGCATGAATATGGCAATGTCTTGGACTCTTGGTATGTAATTTTTCAGCCTTTTTATCCAGCTTCTCGGAGATTATAACGTGGTTAAGATGGTGGTGAGGTGGTCTAAACCACCTAATTTATTTCTGAAACTGAATTGGGCAATGCATAGACATTCAGGAAGAACATGGAGTGGTTTTCTCATTAGAGTGGAAAAAGGAGACTAATTTGCAGCTCTTTCATAAAAACTATCCTTAGAATACATTTCATTTGAATTAAGATGGTTTCTCATTCATCTCTCATAGTACAATATGATTGGATAATAATATCTCAAACAAAAACCATAAGTGGTCATTACGTGTAAGGCTAATCACTCCATGCTGTTGGGCAACGTGTCTGTGAGTCAACGTGAGCTTATTTTTTATGAGCTACTCTTAGGCCTTGTTTGGTTCAAAGGAGGGGAGGGAAGGGGAGAGTCAAGGAGGGAAGAGAAGGAAAGGGGAAGGAAGGATTTTGATAAAAATTTATGTTTGGTTGGAGGAAATAGGAGGAAAGGTTAATGAAAATATTTTCGCAATTTACTTTTATTTGATAGTTTACTTAAAAAAATAGATACATGTCTAACTATTGTGAATATTACTCCTATGGTCATGAGTCATAATTTTATTTTATTTGATTGTTTACTTTTTTAATTTTATAATTTTCATTTTTCAGTTTGGAATTTTTAATTTTTATTTTAATTTTTTTTATTTTTAATTTTTAAAATTTTTAATTTATAATTTTTAAATTTTTAAAATTTTTAATTTTTTAATTTTTAAATTTTTTAATCTATAAATTTTTTAAATTTTTAAATTTTTAAATTTTTCAAAACTTTTTTTTTTTTTACCTATTTCAGAGCCCATTAGTTTTTATATTCTTATAAGTCAGTACTAATTAAGACCTAAAAAGCAATTTTCTTATGGTTAATAAAATTCTATCACAATAACTCTTCCCAGGACTTTAATTTTGTTATGCGAGATTCGTATAAAACTTTGATGTTCTTAAAAAATGCCTTATGAAATAAATAGTGTGTAAGGTTTAACAACGAGTTAGTAGCAGCAATTTGGAAAATGTTTAACATACCCGCAAAACAAGCAAAACTATAAAACGTACAATAATTTCTCTATCCAAATGTGTGTTCTTGCAATTGATACATAGTTCTGGATTAGGCGTGCACTCGGGCCGGGCCTAGGCCCGGTCGGGCCGCCGGTTTGTATGACATGGGTCCGGGACCGGCCCGAGGGTTGGACGGGTCCGGTTCGGGCTGGGCCACCCGCCCGAGTCACGGGTCGGGCCACCCGCCGAGTCGGGTCGGGCCGGTTAAAGTTTTTTTTTTATAATTTATATTTTATAGTTTATAGTTTTATACAAGTATTAAAAACAAACTTCAAGTGCATTTATTTGAAATGAAATAGGAACTACATTTGAAAATTAAAACAAACTTTAAGAGACACACATTTTGAAAATTGTAATCAATCGGAACTTCCTGCACCTCCCGATCCTTTGGCTTTGTCACATGACTTCATATGCTTCATTGCCATCCCGTATCCGTCTGAAACCCCCATGCTACATTTTTTCCCGCACCATTTGCAAGTTGCGTACCACATCCCGGTCTTCGGGTCCTTCTGCTTATCAAAATTATACCGTATAATGGCATCTTGATTTTCCATCTTAACTTCTTAAGTATAAAGTAGATATATAAATAATAAATATAATATAGGGAGAACTATCAAATAAGCCCTCAAACTTTCATAAAAAATGCAAATTAGCCCTTTTATAGGAGACTCTGTCCGGCCGTCGCCATTTGGGGCTGTTTCCGGTGGAATTTTTTGTTGAATTTTTTTAAGTATTTTCTTCATTAAGTAGAGTTTTTTCATACCAAGTTTCAGCTAATATTTCAATCGGGAAGACAGTCAAATGAATTTTTGAAGATAACTGCACAATTAGACAGCACAATATATTTCAGAAAATCATTTGACTGTCTTCTCGATGGAATTTTTAGCTGAAATTTGGTATGGGTAAACTAGACTTAATGAAGAAGATGCTCAAAAAAATTCATCAAAAAAGTATACCGGAAACCGCGCCAAATGGCGACATCCGTACAAAGCCTCCTGTAAAGGGGCTTATTTGCACTTTTTATGAAAATTCGAGGGCGTATTTGATAGTTCTCCCTATAATATATTGGAGAATAAGAGAATTAGAGAGTAGAGAGTTAAGAATAGGATTTAGGAAGAATTGGAGAAGAGATATGAAAAAATGTTTAAGATTAGAAGTATTTATAGGTTTTTTTACCCCCCAACCCCCCACCCCCGGACCCCCCTGCACCCACCCCCCAAGGCCATAACGGCTAGTTTGGGGCCCAACATTTTTTTTAAATTGGACCGTTGGACCCGGACCCGGGCCGGGTCAACTTTTTCAGGAACCGTACCCGCCCTGCCCCTCCCCGCCGGTTCGGGTCTACACCCGGTCCCGGACCGCCCGACCGGGCTGGTCCCGCGCCCGCACAGTAGCGGGCCGGGCCGGGTCACGGGCCGGGTGGCCCGAACCGAATCCAACACTATTCTGGATTGTGTTGTATATTACTTTTTCAGATCCATTTGTAATATTTGTAAACATTTTGTAGTTTAATTATTCTTTTGCAAAGAACCACCTCATTGGATTTGGAACAACCTTTTTTTTTGGTCATCAACTCCAAACATTCTTATTAATCCAGATAATCAGTAGCCAGAAGGCTAACGATACAATTAGGCGCCACCTCATAGATACTACACTGATCTGGGAGAGCTACATGTCCTCTGATCTTATATTTTTCACCACAGTCAAGGCATCTGATTCAAACTCTACTCTAGTCCATCCTTCCCGAATAGCTCCCTCCATAGCTTTCTTTAGACCATAAGCTTCCGTCTCTGCCAGACTGCCACTGACCAGTTCACCGCTGCCGATCCTCCTTGGGCTTTCAAGAAATTGCCTTCATCATCTCTAGCCACCCAACCCCATGCTCTTACCCTCCGGTCTCATTAACCGCACCATCAACATTGATTTTAATAAAATCCTTTTTTGGTTTCTTCCATTTTCCTTAGCTGAGGGCCGTTTAACCCTTTGCTCCCCCCTTGATCTTGAGCCTCCCTCCAGCTAGCTATCATTCCTGCAGCTCCATTAATAACACTAGCGGTATCTTGCTTTTGGTTCTTCCAGACCACATTATTTCTACGTTTCCACAAGCTCCATAGCAGGGCCATAAACCTGCTCTTCTTTTCCGCAACCCTCACCTCTATACCGCTCCGAAGCCACTCTTCCACCGGTTTCTCCTCTTCCATATTAAAGCCTGCTTCATGCCAGACCAGCCGAACCCAGCTGCAGCTCCTAAATGCATGCTCAAGTGACTCGATCGGTTCATCACATAATTTACACCCATTTGCCACAACAATTCCTCTTTGCCGTAATTTATCCACAGTCAGAATTGTCCCGTCCAACACCTGCCATATAAAGTATTTGAATTTAGGGGGTACCTTTGCTGCCCATAGATGCAGCCACACCCCATTCTCTGTCCTACCGATTCCTCCATTTGTAGTCTGTAACCCCTCTTAACTGAGTATATTCCATTAGACTCCCCTTTCCACCAAAATTCGTCTGCTCTATCCCCTGCGCTAATTGGAATGCTCAAAATTCTTCTTCTATCTTCCTCATTAAAAATTGCCTTTATTCTCTCTTCATTCCATTTCTTCCCCGTAAAGTCACGGAGTGCAGCAACATTCATATCACGCACCCCTAAAGGTTTAGCAGATGTTATCCTTCCTTCATCTGTCCCTGGTAGCCACGTGTCTGCCCACACCTGAACATCAATTCCATTCCCCACCCTTCTCCTGGTATTTTGTTTTAATAATTGCTGTGTCTCAAAAATACTTCTCCAGACAAAGGAAGGGTTATTTCCCAATTTAGCATTAAGAAAATCAGAATTAGGGAAATACCTTGCCTTTAAAATCATCTCCATAAGGCTACCTTTCTCGTTAATCAATCTCCACCCCTGCTTGGCTAGCATAGTCAGATTTAATTCTCTCAGCTGCCGAAAACCCAAACCCCCTAGCTCCTTTGGTTTACACAGATTCTTCCAACTTCTCCATCTCATTCCCTTCTGATCTAACTTAGATCCTCTCCACCCAAAACCATTCATCATTTTTTCAATCTAGCCGCACAACTCCTTGGGCAATAGAAAAACATTCATGGCATAAGCTGGCATTGCCTTGACAACATTTTTTAACAGAACCGCACATCCTGCCCTGGATAGGAAACGGTTATTCCAGTTCTTAATTCTATTATAAATCCGGTCCTTCAGATAACTCAGGATGGCTCCCTTATTTCTCCCTACCATCGCTGGCAATCCCAAGTAACGTCCATTATCCCCTTCTGTGAAAACTCCCAATTTAAGCCTACACATATTTCTAGTCTGTTCTGCAGTGTTAGGGCTAAAAGAAACCGTAGATTTGGTAAAATTCACTACCTGCCCGGACAGCTCTTCATAGTAATTTAAGATTCCTTTAACATTATCACATTCAACTGGAGTGGCCTTAAAAAATAAGAAACTGTCATCACCAAAAAATAAGTGAGATACCTTCGGAGCTCCCCTGCAAACTGCCACCCCATGCACATCACCTCTGCTTTCCGCCCTCCTCAGCATAGAGCTCAACCCCTTGGCCACCAATATAAATAAATAAGGGGACAGAGGGTCCCCTTGTCTTAACCCCCTACCTAGAATTATCGGCCCCAACGCACCCTTCTCATACTGGACGAAGTAGCTGACTGTGCTGATACACTCCATGATTAACCCGATCCAGCGGGTCTCAAATCCCATTCGCTCCATAATTTTCCCCAAAAAATGCCAGCTCACTCTTTCATAAGCTTTGCTCATATCAAGTTTTGGTGCCACAAAGCCCTCCTTGCCCCCTTGTTTCCTTTTCAGGCAGTGCTGTGTCTCAAAAGCGACTACAATATTATCCACAATTGATCTACCTGGGATGAAGGCACTCTGGTTTTCCCCAATCAAATCACCCAGCAATCCTTTCATACGGTTAGCCAGCACTTTCGAAAAAAATTTATAAACCACATTATAAAGTGCAATTGGTCTCCATTCCCCCATATTATCAGGTCTCTCCTT